CCCCAAAACCCCAAAACCCCAAAACCCCAAAACCCCATAGAGCTACTTTAGAGTTTGGAGAGTAAAAAGTAAAATTTAAAATTTATCTATGGATATAAAGAATATAAACACAAGAATGTGCATGGATGCGTACTAATTGTGGCTATCTTAACTCTATAGACAATATCAGAAATAGACTAGACACAACTGCTAAGTATCTTTCATTAATACTCCTGCAAAGACTTCATTGTTATCTTACCGAATAAATATTTGTTAGCATTATTAGATGATTAAGTTGTTCATTCAACTATAAGTTATCTGCTTTAATCTTTAGCGTCAACTGCCCAATCTTCTATCAAGCATGCTACGTTTTCAAGTGGCTGCTTTTTCTCTAAAGAATGATAAGCATTGAACTTTTGAAGTTTATCTATATTCACGGACTTAAACAAGAAATGAGGCTTTTATATCTGTTTTTAATGCTGCATTGCTTTTTTATCATTTTCCCTTCTCGTCTCAGGTGATTAGAGATTCTAGTTATATTAGTCTATCAAACTTTATTTCCTACTAGTTCTCTCTTCCATCTAATTAAACATCATTAGAAATTTAATAGCATACCTATTTAATTCTTTCATCAAGTCTTTGGGACTCAAATCGGAATGTTTCAGAGGACTTTCTATTTCTAGTCATTTCTTCTTTCTTCTTTTCAATCTTATACATTAGGATCTATATATAAAATTGAATACTTGGAAATTGTTACTTGCTAATGTGCATCATATTCAACTTCTCTAGGGTCTAAATTTAGGTTGCCAACTACATTCATGCTCACACTGTTTAGCAAAGATCCAGTTCTTGACCTACTATCAATGGGACCAGTTTGATTAACACCTAAAGCAGCAATTTATTGTTAGAATTAATTCATCTAGGACAGTGAATTGTTTTAAGCACCAATGGCTTCTCTCAAGGCATCACGGAGTTTTTACTATTCGATTTCATCATCTTACTGTTTGGTTATCAATTTTACTTACTTTTCATTTATTGTTACTACATTTTATTACTTTTTATTATTGTTTTATTCGTTGTGATTACTTCCAGTTGCTTTTTGCTTGTTGTTCTTAGTTTTCTGCTTCTTTTGTTAAGGCTAACTTTGATGATTTTAAGTCTGATTTTGATTGCCAAAATACTGATTAACTTGTAGTCTCTTTTCATTTACTTTAATAACACTAGAGTGCTAGTACTCCTCATCATCTTGATCGCCAATCAATTCTGCTCTGATTTAAGCCTGTTTAGCTTCATTTACTAGCTCATCTCTCTCTATGTCTAAAGAAATAGTCTTAGCTTTTTATTTTTATTCCTCCGTCAGTTTTTTTTCGTCAAGTTTTGAAGTGTATTTTTCAAAGTCATATGTGCTCTTGGTGTTAAACATTTTCTAATTAAGCTCAAACTAATTCAAAGCACTCCAGTCTACTTTCGAGTCATTCACTGCTTCATGATTTATTTTCTAAGAAGTCTCCTTGTCTATATATCTCTCTAATTCGCGAGGCTATCCTGCTTACGTAATTACATTATCCTTGTTATTCTATTATGTTTATTGATTTGAAAGTATACTAGAGTTCTGAGATTAAGGGTGCTTTTATTTTTCACTTTGATTTTACTGAGATAACTTTTACTGGAATTTTTATTATTACTTCTCTTTTTTAAAGTTTTGCTGGAGTTATTGTGGTTACTATTAATTTTAACTTTGGAATTGATTATTTAGATTTTTTTCTTCAATAGTTCCATTTTATTTTGATACTCCTGATTATTTCTGCTGATATTGCTGCTGCTAATACTATTATGAATTCTACTTCTTTTTGTTTCCTTTTTGTAATTTCTGAGTAATCTTAGTGTCTATCTCAAGATCTTACCATATATTTTCATTATACTTTACTTCTCTTTATTGTACATTACTACTCTATAACGCTGATGCTGTAGTGACTTTATTTTTCCCCTCCTATTTTTAATTATCAGTTTAATCCTTATTGATCACTTCGTCCTTTTGCTAATTTACAATATTCAATATTGGTCTCTCAGCTTTAACCACACCTGCTCTTTAGATGTTGATACCCTCAAATAACACCTCGGCTATTTCACTCATCCTAAAATGACCGTACTCTATTTTATCCAACTCTACCCTCCTATTCTATAAATTTACATTACCCCTTTATCATCTTACATCTGGACTGACTAGGTATTTAGTGATATCTGCCAATCGTAATTCAGATCCATTACTGGGAAACAAATCTATAACACCTTCGAACTCTATAATGCTTCCAGGGTTGGTAGGGTCTTGAAATTCCTTTGTCTTTCTAATCAAACATCTTTGCCCCTATATTGTACATTTATCACTCAACAAATTAATCTAAATGACTTTTTAATTACCCTTGTTTGTAGCAAGAAATTAAATTTTAAGGATTTAACCTTTGATTCACCCTTAGTCTTTACTCCATTTTCTTCATTCTAAGTAACAGTTGAAGTATCTTGAGTTTGATTAACCAGTGGAGGTTGGGTATTGTTCTTTTTCTTTTATTTCGATGTAGTTGTCTTTTACTGAGACATCTTTAATTAGCAAAATTTAATTCAAACTTAACTAATACAATTATATTTATAATTTTACTTATAATAAAAACACTCCATTGGGGTTTTGGGGTTTTGGGGTTTTGGGGTTTTGGGG